CATTGGAGTCTTCCTCTAACGTAACCGATGACATTTATATTTGGAATTTGATCGGATTGAACTACCTCCAACTCCTCTTGCTGTGTGTCTGATTTTCCCTCTGATTTCCTGGTTCTAGTATGATGTCGAAGGTGATGTACCTGTGCAGACTAAGGGATTCTTCCTCTAAAACTGACCAGTCACGTACCTTATGTATGAGTTTTTTTGAGTCAGTGTACCTGAGTTTCCACAAACGAAGATTGGTGACCCTCCCTGGTTACACGCTATAAGGTCTATCGATGCCATAAGGTCCGCCAACCTGACCTCTCTTATGTCCTCTATTGGGCTACCGCTGGCTCTCGATTTCAAATTAAAGTATCCTGCCACTATGACAGGTAGTTCAAATTTTCTGATGCTAATCTCTTCTAACTTCCCTAAGAATATCTCGAACTCGATTAGGGCAACGTTTGGGGAGCAGTAGCAGCTATAGAATCTGTGCCCGTTTGCTTCGATCCATCGGAATCCTTGTGAGCTATATCCTATCTTGTCTACTTGTAATGTGCCAAGCGCTACTACTGTCGAATGGCCAGCCGCGTCTTACTCATCCATGTCTCGGTATTATTCGTTGATTACCAGTATTTCAATTTTCTTATTGATTGCATTTGCCAATCCTAGATCTTGCGTCACCTTGCCCGTCCCTACATTTATTTGTAGTACTTTATTGTCATTTTCATTGGTTTACTGCCCCACCGGCATCCAGCGCAGCTGTGCCCCTGTCCTTGACGTAGTTGAGTTGTCGGACAAGCTCCGATCAAAAAAAAACTCGCTTTGTTTTGCTTGTTCACCTCACAGCTGAACGAGAAGTGGCCAGAATTTTCACATAAACGACAGCAGTCTTGTCTGTCACGACCAATGCAGTCAATTTGAGTATGTCTCATTGCCAGACACCTTGGGCACCTGCCTCTTCCACGGTCTTCTCAGTATTTTATCCGGCAGCTCACATATCCAACTCTTAGTTTCCCAATCCCTTGGACATGGGCTGTTTTCGCAGCCGGTAACAACATGACCATCCACTTTTGGCCTCTGCTCACTGTCATAGTAAAGTTCACTCTTGCCTCCTCTGCATCGCCCTCCATTATCATGGCGATTACTTCGAGTACTTTCTCCGCGCTTGCTTGCTCATCAATGTCCTGGATCACCACTTTCTGATAGATGCCTGATTCCTAAGCCGCTGTCTTATCTCCCATTGCCATGCCTATTACCTCGATGATTTTTCCTGACGTTTCGTGCTTGGGTTTTAGAGGTACAAGTAGATCACCTTCTCTGGTTTTGCTTAGATCATTAATGTCTTCCGATACTGCCTTGACATCCCTGCTACACTTTAATTTTCGGAGTGCATCTAAATAGGTGCCATCCTTTACTCAGACCAGAATGGTGTTCTAAGCTTCTTATCGCTCGGGTTGGCCTTAGTAGATGGTCCTGAGCCTTCCTCGGTGGGTTCCGGAACCAGCTTAACCCTAGTTTTCTTTTGATGTGTTCTCCTTTTGATAACCTTCTACACTTCCGCCGTTGCCTTAGCAGTGGCATCCTTGATTCGCACCTGATTTAGTACCTTGACATATTGTGCCATTATTCTGTTGGAGTTCTCAAGGGTCTCTTTCAACTCCTTGTGCACGTTTCTAATGGACTGACCGAAAGTACACATTGTATTGATGTACCCCTGAAGTTTGTCCAGGAGTTCATCTTCATTAAGGGCACCGATCTCGATGACCTTCCTCGGGGGTGGCCGATTGACCAGCTCCGTGTTTAATATCTTGTCCATCGACGACTCTCTATCTGGGGCCTAGTTCCGTTGCGTGCCACATGACACGACCGTCTCAGCAGATGCATTACCAGAGATGAGGGCCTGGCTGTACACTCCTATTCCTGGGTTTTAGGTTGGCGCTGACGACTTTTGGGACGAGCCACTTCCAACCGTCGGCTCAGTGGTTTCCGAGGCCCTTGTAGCAGTAACATCAAGATTGCTAATTGTACTCATCATATATTTTTTTTTTATGACTTGGCGTCCACTAACGACGCCTGCCTCGCGTTGTCTATCTGTTTTCCTTCCGTAGTCCTGATCTTGTAAGACACTGGGGGCCGATCAATCCCCCGGTAGTGAGCCTATCCATGACCGCTTATTCGTTCAATCCCGAAAAATATGGCTTATTTCGCGGCTACACTGTATATCTGCAGGGCGTTCCCCTATCCGCAACCTAGGGACGCACCTGATAGCTTGCTTGTGCCACGGGACGATATACCACTTGAACTTTTCCCAATTGACTTTGCGAAAGCTCCATCGATGAATTGGGCGTGAGCTATTTAGTTGGAAGTTAAGCCCAACTTTAATCATAATTACCCTATATTGACTGTTAGGAAAAGAATCAATGATCGATCTTTTTTCTGGGTAGGGAATGCCATTATCATCAAGCGTTAACATAGTCAAATCCGGGTTCTAGCCTGAATTCCTCCTGGCTAACCAGAAAGTGTTTAGGCCTTTAAGATCTTGAAGTAGTAGAGGTCAGATGCAAAGATCTAATCTTGGAGAGTCTCTCCATACTCGTTAGTATTGTCATAGTCCAAAGTGGTGTTATGACTGTTGAAGTCTACTGTAACCAAAGCAGGTTTAACGATCTCTTCAAGTGAATTTTCTTCCCATTTTATGTTTGGTGGTTTGTAAGTATTGTAAATGTTGAATACTTCATGTTCAATGCTATTGTGACTATATCCTCTATTATTGTGGGAGGGGCCACGCTGAACTGTAAGATGTTTGACTTGATGCAGGTAGATAGACCGTACTATCTATGATGGTTCGCTTATGGTAAACATATCTATCAAAATCTATTATTAATACAGTAGTCACTCGATAATTCGATATTCAGGGGACTGAGCTAAAAATTCGATTTATAGAGATTTTCTATTTACCGAGTGTTCGAATAATCGAAGAAAAAATATTAATTCGAACTAAAGAGAGGTGAAAAATTATATGTATATATTACATTTATTAATTGACATTTATTTATTATACATATTATGTATTATATTTTACATTTAAAGAAATCTGTTCTTTTTTTTGTGTTGAATTGTTGGCCACAATCTTGGCCATAACGTTATCTAACCTACTGATAACATTGAAAATTGTATCGCATCCTTTTTCGTCTATTTCAGAATACCTCAAAAAAAGTTCGCACTCCTGACATAAAAATGGTAAATGATACGATTAATGTCTAGATTAGGTAGGTAAGGTACGATAAAACTACGATAATATTTAATTGCTGCCGTTATTAATTTCATTGCGAGTACGTCAAATAGATGTACATATAAATATACTTTATGTATATGAACATACGTATAACCACGATAAAACAAATTCGAATTATAGAGGTTTTGGAAAAAAAATTCGAATTGTAGAGTGAGTCCCATCAACAGACATTTCGAATTATAGATTGGACTGGAATACATGTATTTTTTTCTAATTATAGAGGTTTTCTCAGGGGACTAAGCGTTTAATTCGATTTATGGAGATTTTCGAATTGTCGAGGTTCGAATTATCGAGTGACTACTCTATATATCTTCATATATAATATACATTTAACTGACATAGTAGAATAACCAGTAGCTTCTGCAGTCATAGTGTACAACCTACACTTGGCTATATATTCATTTTTGTTTTGAAAATATTTGAAAACATTCCAAATTATTTCTTTTACTTGACTGTGAGCTTTACGATTTTTAATTTTTGAACTCAATATGAAAAAACTATCGGTAAAAACATAAAAAAAACATAACACAATACTATAGGTATCTATCTTTTTTATAGCGTATGTATTTAATACAAAAGTACACGGACACAATACTGACGTGAATGAGTAAATATCCATCTATATTATTACGTTTCATAATTATTTCCATATCCCATTAATCTATTAATAAAACCACGCGGTCGAAACACACCAAAATTTGTTTGGGATACACCTAGGTACCGAAAAGCGCCGCCGCCTCCATTTCAATTTATTTGGCAACGACTGTAACATAGTGATAATGCACTATGTCGAACGGAGCCATCACAATGAGCCATCTCCGGTGCAACCAATTTACCCAATAACATTGTCGATCGGAAACATTCTCGACATTTTTTAACAGCACGTTTATCGGGGTGGAATTATTAACCGTTGCGGCAGTTTTTCTCCGGGCTGGTTTTGGCGACACTTCGTCTGCGAGCGTCCGACGTATCTCGTACGCCGCGCGTGTCCGTGGCATCGTCTATCCCGACGTGTTGTGTCGATCGGCAGATTATCATTTTTCGTTGGGTCAATTCTCTTACGGACGTATTTATACCGCCTTTTGGTTGTCGGTCTCTCATCGTGCACGCATTGCTACCGACATAGTTACCGTGTTCATGTGTGATTGAAACAGAAGCTTTGCTGTTATGGACGTCTTCTTCGTGGTCAATAATAGTATTCTTGTGCCGCGATTACTTATCGCACCGAATATTTAGAGTTTTGGCTCAATAATCGTGTAATTGTCGGATACTGATTTAGGTTGAGGTGTTTTGTATCGTACGAGTAGCACTTTCATGTCCGATGATCTGTTTATTGTCATCGATGTATCATATTTTTTTATAAATTATTTGTTATTTAATACTGTTTAGTGAAACCGTTTACCTACTATTTATATCCATAATTATTATACATTATTGTTATACATTTTTAGGCACCTCATATCACTTTTACTTTTTGTATCATGATGATTATTGTGATTTTACGAGCATTCAATAGTAATTTGGTCCAGATTAAAAATTAATTTTTTATTTATTCTTAAATTTTATTTTATATGTAAGTTAACCCCCTTTGCCTGAAACTGGAATAGTACCTTTAGTTTTAATAGTTAACAGTAAAAATAGTCTCAACTGAATATACTTTAGGTTATAATATTAACACTTTTTTTTTTTTTTGTATGTTATATTCTATTATTACCATTAGAAATAAAGAAAATAGTAAAATAGTTGCTTATATAATCGATTATAATGATGTAAGCAATATAATACATACGTGGAAAAAAGATAAGCCTGTAATACTCTTGACCCATGGATGGCTTGGGATCTATGAAGAAAGCGGAGTATTTACCATAAAAAATGGTAAATTTTTATGAAAATATTTGAGATTAATTTAATAATTAAGTATTATAAAGTAGATTGAACTTTTAATGTTCTATGTATTAAATGTTTTCAATATTTAATTTATGGTTCTCTTAAGTTCTTTTATTTTATTGTTCTTATAATTTTTTTTTTATATTGTATTTTGAAAACAGCAATATCAATGTAAAATCTATAAGTTTCTAATTAATAATATAAATGTATAAATTACTCATCTGCCTTCATAATTGGGTCATTGCATTACAATAAATATAAAATAGACTAAAAAATTTCCCTGAAGTCAAACATACATAACGATTTAAAAAAGAACGACTGAATAAAAAACTCAATGACATATTTCCACTCATATCTTATAGTTTAATACTTATTTATTTTTTTTTTTTTTTTTGACTAGCTTACCTAAATGATTACCCCGATGATTATAATATTTTGACCTTAGATTGGGCACATTATTCAAATATTGTTAATTACTTCAAAGTAGCTAATCGATGTACGATGGTGGGAGAAGTACTCAGTTATTTTTTGATCCGGCTAGTTGAACTAAGAATTGTTATGCCTGATAAAATACACATGATAGGACACAGCCTTGGTGCTCATACTCTTGGAGCATGTGGACGTAAATTTCTTCAAATTACGTCAATGAAAATCGGTAGAATCACAGGTATGTACAATAAAATTAAAAGAAACGTAGAACTATATTGTTGATAGTATTGGATCCAATATCCAAGCCTTAAAAACCTTATAATTATGCAGGACTAGACCCTTCAGGACCCTCATTCGCAAGATCATGGTACTACTGGACGGAAACCAATGAACGATTGCATCAGAATAATGCAACATTCGTAGATGTGATCCATACGGCAATGGGCGTAACAGGATATATTGGAAGCATGGCACATGCTGATTTTTATCCAAATAATGGAGTATCACCTCAGCCAGGATGTGAATATATAAATCCATGTGCAAAATGTAAGTTGAAAAATAGATTTACTTCAATAAACAGCTTCTAAAAACACAAGGGATGTATCAATATATATCCCCTATAGTTCGAATAATATGATGTTACAACTTTACAATACTAATTCTAATTTGTCTTTATTAAAAACATTACAGCAATGTAATTACTAGGGCTCATAACTTATAACTCTAATAAAAGTAATTATAAGCTCTATAATATGCTCTTAAAAATATTCATATAAGCGCTTAAATATGCACTAAATATACAAAAATATACAAAAATAAATATAACATGAAAAATAAACAATTTTCATTTATTATTTAAAAAAAAAATATATGTATAAAAAACAATTTTCACTTATTAAAAAAAAGTATCATGTTAAATTAAAAATATTTAAACTGATAAATAAATTCTAATTAAGTCACTATATGATTCAAATAAATATATAACTTCAACCAAAAGAAGAAGAATTAGTTAATTAACATGAATTAATTACAAATATAAAAATTAATACTACCATAATTATTTATTATTATTAAGAAAAAATGTTTTAAACTCTACAGAACTGAAAAAGACTTAAAAAAGCAAAATAGCAAATAACAATTTTCTAAATATGTAAGAATAAGTTTGCAAAATAAAAAAAGCAAATAGCACTTATACTTTGAAATATGCAAAAATATACAACATAAAATTTTGTATTTAACTTCTTAGTTATCTAAAACAAATGTATAGCTTACATAGGTATTTTTAGGACCTCTCAAAAAAAATATGTAAATGCTATAAGTTATGAACCCTGGTAAAATGTATAATAAAATGTATAATAATTATATAAAATTACATATAATTATTATACATTTTATTTTTTTTTACAAGTTAAATTAAAAAGCTAGAAGAATGTATGTTGATTATGAATAAAGTGATAGGTGTAGAACAAGAGTTATGGAAAAGTTTGGAGTCGGGAATGATGTAGCCTAAAGTAGAAAGGAATGAAAAAAGGGACGGTCTACTAGAGTAGAAAGGAGGGCAGTTGAAAATTATATGATCGAAATCGCAGTTGAGTTATTGATGTAAAGAACAATAGGGAGAGGATTTTAGATTAAGATTAGGATTTAAGTTTATAGGAGTGATGGGGAAGCAAGCTATGTCTTATCCGAAGACGTTTGTAGCTCAAAACAAGGCGCATAGGAAGATTAAGGTCTCTGTACCATGGGTTGGATGGAATTGTGGAAAATATCTGCTTATGACAGTTACCAAAATTTGGTGGGAAGGCGTCCCATTTGGATTGCCAGGCTCAACGCAGAAGTTTACGATGAATGGGTAGAAAGTCGGAAGAAGGTAATTTTAAAAAAGAAAGATTAATGTGGGATTTGGTGGAAGAAGCTTGATGGTCATATGAGCTCGTTACCGAAGATACCGAAATGGCTAGTTAATGGCTAGACCTTCAAAAGAAGTTAACTATTTTATTATCTAGGTTAATGCGACAGATTAAGGATTTAATAATGAGTACGAGGGAGGTATGAGAAAATTGAATAGGTTGGATGTTATAGCAAAGAGGCAAGATTGTAAGTCAGAAACTATAAAATTTTAATAGTTATAATCAAGGCTCATAACTTCTAGCATTTGCATATTTATTTTTGAGAAGTCCTAGAGGTACCTATGTAAGCTATAAATTTGTTTCAGATAACCAAGAATCTACATACGAAATTTTATGTTGCATATTTTTGTATATTTCGCAATATAAGTGCTATTTTGCTTTTTTTCGCTTTTTTTTTTTTGCTTAATTTTGGATTTTTGCATGATTTTTATCATTAATTTTTTTTTAATTATTCATGCGCCGAACGTCATTCGTTCTACACGTTAATATTTCGCTCATTCTTAAATGTTCTGTAATTTATCGACCTAGTTATCAAATGTCACAAACTTTATATCGTTGTACGCGTAAAAAAATTTCCAATAGTACTTGACCCATATCAGAGTGGGTAAACGCCAAATATTCATATTAACTCAAAAAAACGGGTAAATATAATTATATATTATACACTATAATTAAATATAAAGTAGGTACTGTCGTACCGATAAATGTCACCGGACGCCCCGACCATAGGTCGGCGGTCGTTAGTCATTACGTTCGTCGTTGCGTCGCATCGCGGCGTCTTATCTTCTAATTAGCATGAGTTCGCCCAAATCAAATATGAATTTTATCGAGAAAACAAAACAACCAACAAATATACCTTCTACTCATAATCGAAATAACACTATCAATTCGAACGTAAAGTACGTCAAGCGATGTTTTCGATTCGTCTTTAAACACGGACGAAAATAATGTCAAAACACAAAAATCAAAAAAAAATCAAAAACGCACTCTCTCTTCACCTAAAGCCGATGAATATGAATCAAAAAAAAATAAACCAATGTTCGTAACTGCAAATAGATACAGCCCTTTAGCCACAAATGATAACGTAGAGAATATCAGCACGCTCTCACCACCAATAAATAATACTGATGACATCAATGATGCTCAAACTCCTAAAATCAAACTAACACCTCCTATATTCGTTCGAGATTTGCTTGATTTTGCAGGCTTTCGCAACACATTAATTGAATTAATAGGCTCGGAAAACTTTACATTTAAATCATCCACCAACGTCATAAAAATCCAAACAGCAAACCCTGATTCGTACCGAAAAATAATACACCTCTTAAAAAAGAAAGATGCGCAATACCATACATATCAACCACATGAGGAAAAATCGTTCCGCATAGTTATACGTAACCTACATCCTTCAACTCCTATTGAAGATATTGGAACTGCCATAGAAGATATGGGTTTCTCAGTTCGTCAAGTTGTCAACGTCCTTCAAAAAATAACAAAAATTAAACTGCCCATGTTCTTCGTTGATTTAGTTCCAGCAGTAATCAATACAGAATTATTTCACGTCACTTCATTGCTTCACACAAAAGTCAAAATTGAAGAGCCTCATAAACGCAAAGACATTATTCAATGCTTGAACTGCCAAGACTACGGCCACTCAAGAAAATACTGTTCATATTCTCCAAGATGTGTTCGTTGTGGTGACAACCACCCCTCTACTTCCTGTACTAAATCCACCACCACGCCCGCCAAATGTGCCCTGTGTAAGAGTGACCATCCGGCCAACTACAAAGGTTGTAAAATATACAAAGATCTTCAACAACTCCGGAAACCTGCCACAAATAATCATGGTAACTATCAAAATAATAAAAATGTTGTAAATAATATAAATATTACTAAAAATACTAATTGTGAAGCCACCCAACAGCCAACTGTCAATGATTATACACCTCCAAAACGTTCTCTGACCTACGCACAGGCTACTCATAATAATAACTCTGATCCAACTTCTAATAATCAAATTAACGATAACACACTTTCAAACTTTCTTAATGAATTTAAAGCATTAATCAATCCTTTACTTTCTCTCCTCACTACAGTTCTCGACCGTCTTCTTGCACAAAATGTCAAGTAACTCAAATAATTCATTCACTTCCCAATCATTGTTTATTCTCATGTGGAACGCTAATGGTTTAACAAATCACAGAAACGAACTTATAATGACGCTAAATGATAAAAGAATAGACATAGCACTAATCTCAGAAACACATTTCACAACTAACACCAATTTTTCAATACCAGGTTACAAAATAATTAATTCATGCCACCCGGACAACACCTCACACACTGATGCCGCGATTCTCATTAAATCTTCACTTCTATTTACTCCCTGTCCAAATATACAGGAAAACTTTTTACAAGCTGCCATTTTAACAATAAAATTAAATCACACTCCAATCACTATTGCAGCAACTTACTGCCCACCCAAACACAAAATTACGACACTACAATATGAACATTTTTTTAATTCTTTAGGTCACTATTTTGTAGTCGGCGGCGACCTAAATGCCAAAAAACCAATCCTGGGGCTGCCACACTTCTAACCCTAAAGGACGTACTTTACTCCAAATATTTAATCAAAAAAAATATTCCATACTAGCTCCCCCTGACCCAACTTACTGGCCAACATCTATAAATAAACGCCCCGATATCTTAGATATATTTGTAGTTAATATCACTACTAGATTACAAAACGTCATAAATAATTGCTTAGATCTATGCTCAGACCATACTTCGGTTGTTCTTTCTCTGGATGCACAACCTTCTCCTCGGCCCCGTCAAGCTTGCCTTACGGATGGTATTACGGACTGGATTAAATTCCGCGAAATAATTGACCAAAACATCGACCTAAAAACTAGTCTTAAATGCCCAAATGAACTAGAAAACGCTGTTCAACATTTTACGAGTATAATTCAAACAGCTGCTTGGAGTTCTACTATTAAAAAACTGGGGAATGCCCAAAACTCCTCCCCAGTTTCTACTCATATCCGTGAACTAATCGCTAAAAAACGACATGCCAGATCTATCTGGCAACGTACCCGTCTCCCATCTGATAAAAATGCGTTCAACAATCTTGCTTCCTTACTCAAACGTACTTTAAAACAATTAAGAAATGAGAATTTCGGTTCTTGGGTTTCTTCGCTTACGTCGCAAAATGGTTCTCTCTGGAGGGCAAATTGAAACTGTTTGAAACAAAAACCCACAAATTCCCCCCTAAAAAGTCAAAATAATACTTGGTGCAAAACTGATGCTGAAAAATCTGAATGTTTCCGCTCCCATTTGATTGAAGTCTTCCAACCTCACCACGACATTGTCAATAATACATTTGAAAATTATATTGCGAACTCCCTCACAAGCCCATTTCCACTTTATCGTGCACCTAAACCTGTTTCGCCTGGTGAAATTCAATATTACCTCAAACTATTCCGCCTCAAAAAATCTCCCGGTCTGGACTTGATTACCGTAGAAGTAGCTCTACAGTTACCGAAAAAAGCTATAATACACCTTGCGCACATATTAAACGCTATCATAAGACTTTCCCATTTTCCGCTTCAATGGAAAACCTCAGTCATCATCTTAATTCTAAAGCCAGGCAAACCCCCCCGATACTCCGTCCTCATATCGACCCATAAGTCTCCTACCACTCTTCGGTAAACTTTGTGAAAAATTAGTTTTAAAACGTATTTCTCCTTTCTTAAATGATGTATCAGTTATACCACAGACCCAATTCGGTTTTCGTGAACGTCCCTCAACCATTCACCAAATACACAGACTGACTGACTCCATATCTAATTCCCTAGAAAAAAAAGAATACTGTTCAGCAGCCCTACTTGATGTATCCCAAGCGTTTGATAAAGTGTGGCATCCTGGTCTCTTGTACAAATTAAAAAAAATTTTACCTCTACCCTACTACCTATTTTATCTTGAAGACCGTTACTTTGTGACCAAAATTGGATCAGAAATGTCATCCTCGGCTCGAATTTCCGCCGGGGTCCCCCAAGGAGCCGTCTCATCCCCCACTCTTTACAATCTGTATTCAGCTGATCAACCGACAACCCCTTACACCTCAGTTGCAGATTTTGCCGACGACAAAATTATTTACTCCTCACACAAAGACCCAACAATTGCTGGCATGAATCTACAAAACCACCTAAACCTTATGTCTTCCTGGTATGACAAATGGAAAATAAAAATATATCATGAAAAATCTACTCATCTAACCTTTACATTGAATCGTGGAACCGTACCACCTATAAACCTAAATAACCTAATCATTCCAAAATCCTCTAGCGCTCGTTATCTGGGCCTATTTCTAGATCAACGATTAACCTGGGCAGACCACATAAAAAAGAAAAAAATCCTCCTGAACTCTAGAAGGAAATCACTACAATTTTTACTCGAAAAACACTCTAAACTTAATATAAAAACAAAATTACTCTTATATAAAACTCTATTAATGCCCATTTGGACGTACGGTATTCAACTATGGGGCGTAGCCAAAAAATCAAACACAAATAAAATTCAAACCTTTCAATCTACAACCCTCCGTATAATCACGAATGCCCCTTTTTATGTTTCTAATCACACCCTTCATACAGACTTAAATATTAATACAATAGAAGAAACTGCCAAAATTCTTTATAAACGTTTCCGCTCCCGACTGATGAACCACTCCAATCCACTTATTTCCGCTCTAGGTTCCGACACCATTCCTGGTAATCCTCCTCGTCGATTGAATAGAAAGTGGTGCAGAGACTTAAATACCAATTAAAAAAATATATATAGGTAAAAAATTAACCTAATCATATTAGAAAGTGTCGCCATTGGGTGGCTGCTTTTATCACGTACCAATGTCAAGCTATAGTATATATTCCGCATGCATACTTATTGTAATAACTAATTTACAGATTGTACGCCTTATAATAAAAGTTAAAAAAAAAAAAATTTTAAAAAAATCTTTAGTGGCCTAAAACATTTTTTCTTAAAAATAACAAGTAATTATAGTCATATTAATTGTTCATATTAATAATTAATTCGTGTTAATTAATTTTTCTTCTTATATAACTAATATAATATCAGAAGATACTATACCTATACTATATATACCAATACGAGTTTAGGCAAAGCGCGACGTAGCAAGAATGTACACCCGAAACTTCATAATCCCATCGATAAGGAACCATTATAATTTTATATAATTGTAGCTTGTACTGTAGTATTTTAATTTAATAGTTTCTAGGTATTCAGGTACTCCGATATCATTATCTATACTATTTTTCAAATGAAAACGCACCGGGCGGCAGACAAAAACCGGTCGAAACGCGCGCACGTCCTCCCCACTCCCGACAATTTCAGCTGTCGTTAATGGTACCACCTTGTGTACACAGTGAGTTGTATTAACACAACACTTGACGGACGCTCGTACGTGTAAAACGATATATTCTGTTGTTTTTTATGTGCTCAGTCAATTTATTGTATTTTGGTATCAATTTATGCGTTTAAATTATTTTTTTTGTCGTGCACCGCTTATTCAGCGACACTATGGATGACCAGATAATTGTCATACCAACTAAGAAAAATCCAAAGGGAAAGGTTAGTTATTATTGTGATTAATTATATTATAGAAAAGTATATAATATATAACATAATATGTTACTTACAACGTAAATAATACTATTATTATCATACATTTATTTATTCCAGTTTGTTTCATCAAGTCAGAAACTTATGATTATCAACGCCTACAAGATGGAGTTGAAAAACAATCCGAAAATTTCGATCAGGGAATGTCGGATAACTCTTTTCAAACAACTTGGCATTGGGCAACGAACAATTTCGAGCACTATAAGTGAGTACAATACCTCAAAAACTGTAACGTCTCCAAACAGAAAACGCTGTAAGAAATCGTTTAAAGACGCGTTCGACGATTTACATCGAAACACTGTGCGTCGTCATGTACACTCCTTTTGGTTCAACAAAACGGTTTCTACATTGGCCAAAATATACAGAGTTGTGAAAGACGACGATAGCTTACCTTGTATTTCAGAAACAAATTTATATCGTCTTTTAATAAACATGGATTTCGAATATACCAAACGAGCCCGAAATAGTGCCGTTGTCGAAAAAGACGAAATAGTTGTATGGCGGCAACAGTACCTGGAGGATATACAAAAATATCGCGAAGAAGGGAGACATCTGTACTACTTGGACGAAACTTGGGTCAATGCCGGAGAATGTACCAACAAAATATGGGTATACAAGACCGTTAAATCATGCCATGATGCTTTTGTTCGGGGCCTAACATCGGGAGCGAAAAATCCAACCGGGAGAGGCAAACGACTGATTATTTTGCACATAGGATAGGAAGACGGATTTGTACCAGGTGGACTCCTATGTTTTGAATCAAAAAAAAACACAAATGATTACAATAATGAGATGAATGGTGACACATTTTCAGAATGGATGCAAAGTATATTACCGCGACTAAAAGAAAACTGTGTCATCATTATGGATAACGTATCATATCATTCTGTGAAACGGACAAAATACCTTCCACCTCAACCAGAAAGGCGGACATAATTAAATGATTGGAAGAAAAAGGTCAAGTAATCGAAAAGCCTATGGTAATTCCTCGACTACTTAAAATGGTAGAGAAAATCAGACTAATGCACGAAAAATACGTTATAGACGAAATGGCCAAAGAACACAACCGCACCATCTTAAGACTCCCGCCATATCATTGTGAGCTAAATCCGATAGAGCTAGGTGGTTTGGTCATCAGTCAAACACCACGTCAAAATAAATATTACCAGCTACAAATTAGGTGATGTAAAAAACTTGTTGTTGGAAGGTATCGAACGAGTAGATGCCAATATGTGGAAAAATTTCATTAGTCATACCAAGAAAATTGAAAAAAAATTTTACGACATGGATTTCATTGTTGACGAAATGCTGTCCGCAGAAGTAGAACCTGTCATCATTAATATTGGTAATTCCTCTACCGAGTTTGAGTCTGATTAATTATATTTTTATGTTTTTTTTTAAATTTTGATTTTATTATGTGTAATAAAAAAAGAAATATTAAAAAAATGGTTTTCTGTACTTGTTAAAATTATGTGTAATATTAAAACAATTATTAAATAAATGAATTTCTGTACTTTTTAAAATATATTGAAATAAAATAATAAAATATATTGACCTATCCATCTATAATAAAATAACATAATACAATAGGTAGATTTATAAGAAATACACCAATAAATCATGAATAATAATAATCCGTAAGTGTTTATGTATTTGCGTATAAAAAAAATAATATTCTGTGGCGTACGACAGTATGATGTGATAAAAAATAATTAATATTTCAATTCTCTGTATGCACGCCGGCGTCGATAGGAGCTAACCGATGGCGACTAATTAGAAAAGAATTACTAATTTTGTGGGAGTGGTGTGTGGCCCGCCTCTGATAACGATGCGCTACGCGGTGCGTTCTCATTTGAAAAATTGTTTAGATATTCTGATATCATCATTCTCAGATTATTTACAGATTATTTTTCATTCATATTTTGCAGTCGTTTCCGATTTTTCGTACTGTATGCTATTTTCTTTCGTGAATTCAGTATCTAAATTCTGTAATTTTGTACGTTTATATATTTTTACCATGCCTAAAGAAAAACAATGTTTCTAGTCGTCTTAAAAATATTGTTCACGAATTTGGTGAAAATACGTTTGCAGCCGACGCAAATGTATTACTTTGTAAGTTTTGTAATACTAAAATTAACCATGAAAAAAAATTTAAAATTACACAACATTTAAAAATCGACAAACATATTAAAGCCGTAAAACGTGCAGAAATCCAAACTGAAAAAAAATAATAGTTAGTTACCAACTCAACCAAAAAGTCGTCGTTTAGTAAAGACTTGTGTTTTGCGTTGTTATCCGCAAATATATCACTGAATAAAGTTTCAAATCAAAGCTTTCGTACATTTTTGGAAGTTTATATCGGAAATAATGTTCCTATAGAAACAACTTGAGACTTGGATACATAGATAACATTTTTGGCAAAACAATGAGTAAAATTAAACTTGAACTGTCTGGTAAAAATGTTTGGGTTAGTATTAACGAAACTACCGATATAGAAGGTAGGTTGTTGCTAATGTAATTGTTGGTATACTTGAAGCAGATTACCCGGGTAAACAATATTTAGTACATTCAGAACAACTAGAAAAAAAAATTATTCGACTATAGCCAGAGTATTCGACAAATCTATTGAAATCATTGGTATTCAACACGAGGATGTTTTATTGTTTACATCCGACGCCGCTCCCTCCCTATATGATAAAAGCTGGTAATACATTGAAAGTATTTTATCCCAAAATGATTCATATCACGTATACGGTTCATGGACTCCACCGAGTATTTGAAGAAGTAAGAAGCAAGTTTAGCAATGTCGACAAACTTATTTCTAGTGTTAAAAAAATATTCCGAAAAGCATCAAACCGTGTTCAACTGTTCAAAGATAAAGCTCCTCATTTACAATTGCCACCGGAACCTATTATTACACGCTGGAGTACGTGGATCATAACCTCAAATAACTATTGTGAAAACATTGAAATCATACGTAAAATTCTTGAAAAACTAGACGCCGATGACGCCGTTAGCATCAAAGAGGCTAAAAAATATACTTCCGAAGTACATCGAGTGATCGTTTTCAATGAACAAGACACTACTCAGTAACAATCGAAGATCATTTCACTTTGAAAACTTGTACAAACATCTGATTATTCAATGTAACTTTCAGGGTAAATATATGATTAAAAATATTTAAAAAATATATAATTATAAATTTATAATTTTTTTTAACAGATCAATCGCAGAATAAATGAGTACCACAAGTTGTTCATGATACAATAAAGTACAGTCATTCCGATATAATAACATTATATAATTTTTTTTTTTTTTTTTTTAAATAATAGAAGCTATAATAACAAAATAATATAATAAATAATAATAATTTTGTATACAAACGTTTTTTTTTTTGCATATTTTAGTATTTTTAGTGCATATTTAAGCGCTTATATGAATACTTTTTAGAGCTATAAATTATGAGCTCTGGTTATAATGCATTTATATACATCACTTAAATAATACCATGAGTCCATGATCAACTACCGACAGTGGGGGCTCGTCATGTGACCTACTCGGCAATCGTTAAAGAATGGATCCTAACTTTCCCGAACTCATCAGTGGTGCAACGAGATACTTGGGAGCCATAAAGTTAAATAAAAAACGGAGCTCCCTACCTAAAAATGTATACCAGGATTTTGCTGAATCTTTTTGTGAGATTGGTGATTGATTCAGTACTATTTGTATGTTTTCGGTTTTGGGTAACGTATAGTTGACGTGAATCGATTTATCACCATTGTTCTTAATTTTCCAATGTCTTGTCCAGGCAAAGATATTGTCATTTGACCTCTGTAAGTTATCAATTGCAGAGAGCTGACTATTAGATGTTGACAAAATTGCCATATCATCGGCAAACATAGCTAAAACATATCAGCCGTATAGAGTAAGTACAGGATAGGTCCTAAAACACTACCTTGCGGTACTCTAGCTGATATATCTTCCCATTCGGTTATCGCTTCTTCGTGTATGACTCGAAATTGACCGTCCGTCAAGTATGATTTATGAAGTGCACACCAGGTATGTGGTAGCTGATCACGCAGGGGTTGGTTTCCATGCGTAAATTTTTTTTGAAGACCTTATTTTTGTTTGTTTTCCGAAAAATAAAATAATGATGAGCAAAAAAAAAAAACAAATTTACCCCTGGCACCCAACCCAACCCAACTCAACTGGGGGTCCTCGAAGACTGTAGGTCTTTAGATGAGGATCCATGATTCATTTTACTATGAGAATCTCTGATGTAGATAACCAGCACAGTAATGTCAAAGTCAGCATAGCGAATGTGTTGGCTTTATATGCAACGGCTTACAACCGTTTACTTTGTCGCAACTAATTAGTTCAACAATACTATTTACAATATAAATTAGTCACAAGGATTCAAATCCTTGTTTTCATTGTATGTAACATAGTTATGACGACAAATTATTTTGATATTAACTGTACGAATATTATTTTTTCAAATAATATTATTGTTAATAAATACATTTTTTCTTTCGAAATAATGAACATCGTTTAAAATTATTTTAGACACAAAACAGTTGAATTAGCCCTTATAAAAAAAAGCTCATTGGAGAGGGACGATCGATACTAACTTTTCGTCTCACAAACTTTAGTCAACAACACATAATAATATTGTGTATATATTTTATTGACAGTTTTCCTTCCATTAAAAGTTATTAGTACATACGTTAACGGTATGCTGAAAAAATACGATACTATTTGTCTAAAAAATATATTTTTATATTTCTGCACTTGGAATTAATTTAAATTTATAGATTTTCTAAACAGCATTTTTTGTTTATTGGCTTTCAGTATCTTGCAGTCATGCTAGAGCTTATGAATACTACCTTGAATCGATGAAAGATCACAATGCTTTTCCATCTTTAAATTGTAATAATATGGACGAATTCGAAAAAGGCAATTGTAGTGAAGAAAAAAATTATATGGGCCATAACGCAGATTCAAAGTATTTATTTTTTTTTCAAGTAAAAATTATTTATATGTGTTGAACCAGTGATTCTCAAACACTTGCCACTCTATTTACAAGCAAAATATTATTCATCGTCTCCCCCCAAAAAGAAAAAAAAAAGAAAAAAAAAGTAGCCTGCTCTAAAGGAATATGTTATATTACCTTGCATTTATTTCATAGATAAGTGAATGAAATTATATTGTTTGAAAACAGTTAAAGATAATTTATGGTGCAAAGCTCAGCAGAACATCTGTATTTAATTTTTATTTTTCTGCAGTTAATATTCTAGAGCCCAAAATTAATTCACATTCACCACTCCTCAAAATCTCATCACTACCATTCACGTCCATAACCACTGTACTTAACTATAGTTATATATAAATATAGTAATAACTGATTTCAAAGAGAGGAAAACTACATTTAAAAATAAAAAATGTAGTAGATTTAACTTTTTTTTACAGTGTAAAAGGTACATTTTACTTGACAACGAATTCTAGTTCACCATTCAGTCAAGAATTAAAACCAAAAGAAGTGGCTTCAACAAAAAATTGAAATTTCTTAATAAAGTTTTTACAACTATTAATTTCAGTAGCATATTATGATTTAATAAAACATATTAAATACAAAATCACTAATGATTCTATTTCATTAAAAATTAATAAACATTATGTACTTGAGTAAATAATTCATTTTTGTTATTTTTTCCTATGGATGGTTTTATCAAACTTTTATTTTTTACTTGCAAGTACGATTAATATAAAATTTAAATTATTGTTATTTAATCATTCTGTGTAGAATTCCGAAAATGCTCGAACTGTTAAATCTTGAACAAGTAGTTATAAAAATAATTATTATTATTAGTATTAGATTATTAATTTGTAATAACAGGGCCGGCGTTACCTTTTGTGAGGCCATGGGCAAAACATATTTTACCCACAACAATAGTCATCTATAACCTGTACCTATGCGATAACATTTAATATATGCGGATAATGACTAAATTAATTTAAGAAATGCAATAAAATTAATTTCCTATGTATCCCAGTTTCCATACTGTTCGGCGTGCCGTAGAGGTTGTCGTTGGTACATACATGACATATAAAATATAAAATTGTTGTTTTGTTAATTGGATTTTTATTACACGCCAACGGATTTCTCTAGAAATCGCACTCGCCAGGCGATCCACACATTTCACGTTTTATATTATGAAATTTCCATACAAAATATTATTCAATCAAAATTTATATGAAAGTGTTGTTAGGGGATTATTGGAAGAGTCTGATGAAGATTTAAGTTCTATCAATGAATTAGAAGATATGGGTGAGGACGATACATACTTCCCTACAAACTTGCAACCATTTTGTTAATTCAGTATTCAAATCCAATTTTTTTTTTTAAATAGTATGATTATGATATTGTTATTGAATAAAATTCAGTTTTTTAATAAAAAATGTTCCTTGATCATTTTCTGTATGAAACATGATAAGAAATTAAAATAATTATACTAATTATCTATAGGTACTTATTTGAGTAACAATATAACTATGAAATAACCTTGTAGACGGGTAAATATTATATCAATTGAAAGGTAATTTTCAGCTCTACGTCATGAAATAATTTTAAGATCATTATACAGTTCTCCGATAGCGGCCGTCCGGTGCGCACGTAATTTGTGCACTATTGCGTTAGTTTATTAATTTTTTTTTCTTTATATCTTTCTTTCTTTCGAATAATATCATGTTATAAATACCGCAAGCATGTAAAAGGCATTAGTCGATTAGTTCTTTAGAACTAATGCATCTTTTAATAAAATAATTCTAAATACGATCATTCTTTATTACTACATTTAATTTACTCGACTGCTGTCAAAAACTGAGCACCAAAACGTTTTTATACCATTATGAGTAAAATTATCCAAAAAACGGTCGAAAACGATAACAGATAACATATCGGTAAACGATGAACGATAAAAAAAGATAACGGATAACATATCAGTAAATGATAAACGATTAAAAACGGATAACGGATAACGAAACGAAAAACGATTAAACTTAATATCGAATAACGTAACAGAAAACAATTAACGATTGAAAGGTAAAAAAAATGTTCATGGAAAAATATTTATAACCATCAGTAAAATAGATTTGAAACATAGTTATATTTGTAAAATTGAATTAAATTACTAGATAATCTAAATAAAATAAATGTAAAAATATGTTTAGAACTACAATAAATGTATCAACTAATAAAATATAAATAAGCATTACCAATTATAATTTACTAGCTACCAATTATAATTTACTAGCCGACCCGTCACAGCTTCGCCCGTGATTGGTTGTTTATTTTGCCTTCGGACCATGATATGTAGAATTTTTTATTCAGTTATTATTGTTTAATGTGATCGGCAAGTAAATATAAAGAAACGGTTAATGAAAACGGATTGAAATTTTTCTAGCGTTATAAATTATAAAAATAAATACAGATAAAAAGAAATAATTTTTGGTTGTTAAAGAATTTGATTGAAGTTGATGAAGAAAAAAAAAAGAATTAAAATAAGAATTTTATAAGACTTCTGAGTATATGATGATTTTAAGCAAGCATTAACGACATCAGTTTGACGACATCAGCTACCATTAGGCATTACTGGTAAGGTTTGACGGAAATCACCAGCGAAAACAAATGTTATGCCACCCATAAACTTATTATTACACTTAAGATCTTTGTGTTCGATCAATTGCTTCGATATGTGATCTGTGACTCATTGTACACTCATCCCACACAACGAATGAGGTTTCTTGAAGAACTTTTCCAAGAGGGCCACTTTTATGAATCGGACAAACGTATTCTGTATCAAATAATACATTTAACGATAACTTGAAAGTCGAGTGAGCAGTTCTGCCGCCACTAAGGAGAGTTGCTGCTATACCAGATGAAGCTACGACTAATGCAACTTTACCTAAGGATCTAATTTTATCCAACAACAAATTAATTATTCCTGTAGCACCCGGAGCATCTAAAATAAAAACTCTTCCTTGATGATTCATTACGCTTTCTGTAAAAACATTAAAAGCATATTTTTGATCATTTACTAATTTTGGTAAATTGATTTCTACAAATTCTTGTAATCGGTTATTATCGTAAGAACGCAAAATTGAGAATTCAAAAGGATCAGATGCATTTTCATTTTGAACAGGTGAGTTCATTCCAAATTCAATTAAATATTTTTCAGACAGACAAACAACTTTATCTTCTATTTCAATCAAACCTCTGTTAAATAT